AATATATTTTAAAAAATACAGAGGCCCAGCCAGCTTGGCTCAGTGGTTGAGCGTAGACCTATGAACCAGGATGTCACTGTTCGATTCCAGGTCAGGGCACATACCCGAGTTTCCGGCTCGATCCCCAGTGTGGGGTGTGTAGGAGCCGGCCAATAAATGATTCTCCCTCATCATTGATATTTCTATCTCTCTCCCTCTCCCTTCCTCTCTAAAATCAATAAAATAGATTTTAAAAAATCAATCAATAAATAAAAACTATTTTTTTAAAAAGTCACTTCCTCCAGGAGGCCTGCCTAATTACCCAGTCTTGCCCTTGTCTTACTTGTGTTGTCTTTCATAGCATTTAATACATTGTGTTTGCTGTTCCCTGTCTCTGACTAGAACAACAGCTCTATGAATGCAGGATTTTGTCTGGTTTCACTGCTGAGCCCCCTACCCTAAGCCAGTGGTTCTCAACCTTGGCTGCACATTAGAATCGCCTGGGAATCTTTTAAAAATCCTGATTTCTGGGCCTCATCCTCCGGAAATTCTGTTTCTTTGTTACTAATGTTGTGGCCCCACCCCATAACAAAATCAGAATTTCCGGAGGATGGGGTCCAGAAATCAGGATTTTAAAAAGATTCCCAGGTGATTCTCATGTGCAGCCAAGGCTGAGAACCGCTGCCCTAAGCAGTGTTGGACTCACATTGGGATCTCAGCAAAGATAATGAATGAATCAATGAATGAACGAATGAACACATACAAGGGCATCAGCATGATCCATGAGGAATGAAGGAGGAAGAAGTTGGTAAATGAATTCAGAGTGGGCAGGAGGTGCCGAACCAGGCAGGACCCTATGGGCTGTAGTAAGGAAGGTGGGTTTTATTCTTAGAGGCTGAGGAACCACTGGAGAGTTTTAAAAAGGAAGTGAGGGCCCTGGCCATTGTGGCCAGTTGATTGCATGTCATCCCATTCACAAGGTTGCCGGTTCAATTCCTGGTCAAGGCACATGCCCAGGTTCCAGGCTCCATCCCCAGTAGGGGACATGCAGGAGGCAGCCAATTGATGTTTCACACTTACATCACTGTTTCCTTCTCCCTTTCCTTTCCTCTCTCTCTCAAAATCAATTTAAAATCTTTTTTAAAAAAGGAAGTGAGAGACTGAAAATAAGACTCACCATCTGAACCATTTTTAGTGTATAGGTCAGCAGCATTAAGCACATCACATGGTTATGCAAACAGTTGCAAGCACTATCCATCTCCAGAATGTTTTTATCTTCCCAAACTCTGTCCATATTAAACACCAGCTCCCCATTCCCCTACCCCAGCCCCTAGTTCCTACCATCTTACGTTCTGTCTCTACAAATTTGATTTCTCTAGGGACCTCATATGCTTGGAATCGTGTGTCCATTTGTGACTGGCTTATTTCACTCAGCATAATGCCCTCAAGGTTGGTTCATCCATGTTATTCTGATTGGTTTTTTAACATTTCCCACTGGCTGCCTTGAGAATAGTGGCGGGGGTGGGGGTGGACCAGGGTGGACTGGTCCAAGTGAGCAAGGGTGGAGATGGGACCCATGTGGTGGTGGAGAGAAGTGACCAGATTCAGGACCTAATTTGAAGGTTAATTGGCTGAGACTTGAGAAGGGATTAGAGGTGGGGATACCAGAAAGAGAGGAATACAGGAGTTTGAGATTTGGGCCAGGGCAGTCTGGTGGATGGTGGTGAATCTGGGGCAGAAGGTCTGAGGAGAAGGCAATCCAGAATCCAGCCTTGGCCTAGTTAGGTGAGAGACACCGGAGCGATGGGCGGGATGGACCAAGGAGGCTAGATGGAGGCTAGGTCCACCTCGGGTGGATCGAGGTCAGGGAAAGGCTGGGCTGGGCCAAGGAAGCCATCAGCATAAGCCGTGGACCGAGTCATCCATGTGGTGGATCCTGGGACAGTGAGTGTAGACGGAGAGGAGAGGCAGGGATGCACCCGAGCCTGGGGACACTGCACACTGGGTACAGAGGCTGCTAAAAGAGGGGTTTGGGGGCTAGTTAGCAGGGGGTTAAGCAGATCAGGGACAGGCCAAGGCCACACACTCCCTCTGCCAAGGTAACACAAGACCACAGGGTGCCCACCAGGCCTCCTGGGGCAGGGAGCCCCTTGGCTGAGGCAGCTGCTGCTGCTGTCACTGGTGACATTTTACTCCGTGAGTGTCCTGGCTTCAAAGTCTCTGCAGGGGTCAGGGAGGAGGGGACTGGAGAGATGGGGGGGGTGTGGTGGGGGGGGCGTGGGTGCGCGGGGTGGGGGTGGGGTGTGGGGGCGGGCAAGGGAGAGAGGCAGAGCAGGGCCACAGGAGAACTGAGCAGCCAGGAGTCGGCCAGAGTCCTCAGCTGAGGTATGTGGTTCTGATGGGTGGGGAGCACCCACCCCTACCCCACAGTTCTCAGGGGACACCAGAAGAGGTGCAGGGACCCTCGCGTGGCCCTAGGACTCCAGGTCTGGGTTCGGCCTGCTTCCTATGGCCCTTCTCACCCTCCCCCAGATGTCCAGCAAGGAGGCCATTGGCTGCGACATTGGGCAGGCCCGCCAGGCAGTGGAGCAGCTGAGGATGGAGGCCGGCATCGATCGCATAAAGGTGAGGCTGAGGCCAGATGGGCACGCCTGGGCGAGGGGACGGAGGGACCGCCAAGGTCTGGCTGACTGAGCTGGCCTGCAGGTGTCCAAGGCCGCCGCTGACCTGCTGCAGTTCTGCATGGAGCAGGCCAAGAGCGACCCGTTCCTGGTGGGCATCCCAGCGGCCACCAACCCCTTCAAGGAGAAGCCGCCTTGCGCCATCCTATGATACCAGCCCGGGGCCCTCAATAAACATGAAGTAAATGCTCCTCCGGCTTGGTGAGCGGCACTGGGGGGCAGTGGGGAGCTGCAGGCTGCAGGGGCACCTGGCCCAGCCCCCTCCCCGGTCCCCTCCGGGGTCACTGCCACAGGGGCACACCCCCTGGACTCTGGACGGAAGAGCACACACCTATGGGCTAGCCCTAGCAGGTCCTCCCTCCCTCTGCACACACACATTCAGGGACAGTCCCTTTCTACACGCCATTGCACACTGCATACATACATGTCACACACACACACACACAGGTGGCATCACACAGACAGGTGCCCACATCCTCCAGAATCTCCCTCTTCCTCTCACACGTGCACACTCACGGGCATGCAGACAGTCACAGACGGGGTTACAGTGACATCACACACAGCCAGCTAACGTGCCTCCCTGGGGATGCACAGACACACACGATCCCAGGAATGCACTTGGGTGGACACAGGCCGCCCAGACACACACAGCAGAGGCCGGGGCGGCTGGGTGGATGGTGATGACTTTGGGGGCATCCCCAGCATCCCAGCCCCAAGCAGGCACCACTCCAGGCCACAGCACCAGTACATCAGGTTTATTGCCCCTTCGCTCTCAAGGGAAAGCAGGCGTCCAATTGTAAACAGGACCTGAGGGTGGCCTGGAACAAGGAGCACAGACCAGGGACCCTGCCCAACAGTGGCCTGGAGTCCTTGTGCCCCAGGCCCGAGCCCAGGGCAGCACCAGAAAAGGGGAGGGCCCCCCCGAGAACAGAGGCCTTGACCCAGCCTGCCGGCCAGCAGATCCACATCCATATCCATGTCTGCCTGCTCAGGCCTGGAGCCTCCAGACTTCCAGCGACAGGCCCCCAGAGGCGGCCACCACCAGGTTGCCCTCAGCACAGATCTGGGCAGGGAGATGAAGACTCAGGGGTGCCCTCGGCAACCAGCAGGGCATGTGGGGCAGGGCACGTGGCGTAGGGCCTTACCCCATTCAGCACGTTGTCGTGGCTTCGGGTGCAGATGGTCCGTGGTGGGTCTGTGGGCACGTGTACCTGGTGTCGGGCAACAGATGAAGGTCAAGAGGTGTGCCCCCTGCCGGGGGGGGGGGCGTGGGAGGGGGCTTGTCATGGGGCCTCACCCGGATGGTCTTGTCAGTGGACGTGGTGTACAAGGCCCCCAGCGAGTGTTTGATCCCCGTGATCTGAGACCTGTGGCCCACATCAAAGGACTGCAGGAAGGAGGGACAGGTGACACTCAGGCGAGGCTGTCCTCAGGCTAGCCACCCATCGCCACGGGGGGGTATAGGGGTAGGGAGGAGGCTCAGGGAGGAGGGGACAGGGGCAAAGGCCCTGGCAGACCCGGACAAGTTGGAAGCAGCCGTCCCGGTTGGCGAAGACGTGCAGCAGACCCTGGTTGTCACCAGCCCAGAGCTGGGGCTCTTGGTAGGACATGCAGAGCAGGTAGGAGTCCAGCTGTGGGAGGGACACGGGACGGAGCCGCTCAGGCTGGGCCAGGCCGCAGCCCCGCTCCCTCGGGACGCTGGGGAGGGCCCACCTGAAGCCGCTGCAGGACGCTGTTGGCCCGGCGGTCGAACACAACGAGCGTGTGGTCCTCACTGCCCGAGATGATGTGCCGGTCATCCGCCAGCAACGCCAGCACCGCGCTGGAGTGCAGCCGCCGGCTCTTCAGCAGGGCTGGGCCGACTTTGTGGGTGACGGGCCAGGGAGGAAGATGACATCAGAGTCCCTCAGAGGCACCCCCAAGCCAACCCCAGGATCCAGGGCCTCTGTGGTCTATGGCAAAACCCTTGGCCAGCTTCCCGCCCCCACTCCCTATCCTACAAATGACCTTTCCTCTCCTGCTCCAGCTGAATCCAGGCCTCCCAGGGCCCCAGGCGTGTGCCACCCCCATCTCCTGTCCCACATCTCTCCTCCTGTCCCACATCTATAGAGCGTCGGCCTGAGCTCCCAGTACAGAGTAGACAGGCAAGTCCCAGCATAAAATGCCAACTCATGCCAGCAGAGTCACCGCCACCTCTACCCCCACTCAGCTCTGCCTGGATGAGGTGCACTGGCCCTTCGATTAAACAACGTAAGAATTAAAAACTAGCCGAAACCGGTTTGGCTCAGTGGATAGAGCGTCGGCCTGAGGACTGAAGGGTCCCAGGTTCGATTCCGGTCAAGGGCATGTACCTGGGTTGCGGGCACATCCCCGGTGGGGGATGTGCAGGAGGCGGCTGATCGATGTTTCTCTCTCATCGATGTTTCTGACTATCTCTCTCCCTTCCTCTCTGTAAAAAATCAATAAAATATATTAAAAAAAAAAAGAATTAAAAACTAACAGAAAAGGCTTATGTGCCGGGCAATGTTTGTTCTAGGGATTTGATGTAAACTAACAACCCACCAAGTGTTCTTATTATCATCTCCTCCCATTAACCCGAAAGGGTGGAGTTGTTACCTGATTTTACAAGATAGGAAAACCGAGGTTCAAGTCTGACTGGTGTACAGCCCGGGAGCGGGAGAGCCTGGATTCTCGGGGCTGCCTGCCTCCCATGGGATTCCAGCTCAGAGGCCTTCTGCTGGGTACCCTCTATGTCCTTTACTCCACCCCCACCCAAAAGCCCTCTGTGCTGCCCCCAGCACAGCACAGGCCATTCTGAGGGGTTAGCATCGGCGTACGTGACTGTCACCTAGCCAGGCTGTGAGGCCCGAGTGCCTCCTTCCCCAGCATGACCCTGGGACCCCCAGGCGGCCCTGTTCGCCCCAGTCCAGGCCCCTGGCCCACCTCTGGGGTCGTAGACTGTCACCTTCTTGTCGTAGGTGCCGGTCACCAGGATGTCAGGCTGGTAGGAAAGGCACAGCACAGCTGCCTTGCCCCTGGGGACACACAGAGCACGAGGCTGGGCTGTGGCCAGGCAGGGCGCTGCCCCCTCCCCGCCCCTCCTCAAGACCCTTCACACTTTATCTCGCCAAACTGCTGCCCGTCAGCTGCCATGTCCCAGAGCTTCACTGTGCTGTCCCAGGAACCGGAGCACACTCGGTGGTCCAGCGCTGCCAGCGACCACACCCAGCCCTGTAGGACCAGAGCCATGTGACAGGCCTCACTTCACAGATAACCAGATGGAGGGCCCGAGGAGGAAGATAACCAACCCAAGAACCCAGAGCCACAGCAGAGATTAGAGCTGACGTCTGCAGGTCTGTCCGTCTGCAGAGCTCAGGACACGCACACCCCCTCCCACAACAATATTCCTACATCAACTTCTGCGGAGACCCGGAACCTGCGATGGTTTGAGGCCACATGACAATGAGATTAAATATAAAGCCTCCGTTCCGTGGCGTGGGTAAATCACCTCCCCTCCCTCAGTTTTCTCATTGGGAAATCGGGCATAAAAGCCGTCCCTGTCTCAGGAGGTAATTTACAGAGCGCTGGCTGATGACGGGCTTATTCCTCTCCAGACCCTCTGAGAATACTGTCAAGTGTCCCATTCTACACATGAGAAAACTGAGGGCACAGAAAGGTCGAGTTCCTCGCTCAAGGTCACACAGCCAGGAAACAGCAGAATGAGCAATGGAACCCAGCCGCCTGGCTCAGAGACCAAGCTCTTGGCCACCAGCCTAGATCACCCCACTGACTGGTGAAGGTGCCTCTCCATGGCCACTTCACACAAGACGACAGCCATGCTCAGAGCTATCAGATCCCTCAGGGCAGCCTCCTCACACCTTGCCCTGGGCCTCTCCAGGCACACCTGACATCGATTAAGCACCTACTGTGTATCCAAGTCTGAGTGAAGCTCTTAATGCCTGTTCATTTCATTCATCCTAACTGACCCTGGACAGAAATAGAAACTGAGGCCCAGAGAAGTCATACATCACACCCCAAATCACACTAATAATAGCAGAGTAGGACTGTCATCTGTCAGGTCTGGTGCCAAAACCCGAGCCCTTAGTCACAGCACCTGGGCCTCGAGGTTCCTATAGCCTTACCTTGTGGGTGCTGCTCTGGGTGCCAAGGGCCTTGACCAGAACCCGGCTGGGTTCCACCCCAAGCTGCCGCAGGTCCCACAGGTTGACATTGCGGTCTCGGGAGCCAGACAGACAGAGTGTCCCACCCTGGGAGGGGAGTAAGGAGATATTGTTGGGGTCACCCTGGCCCACTCCTGCCTGGCCTCTCACCAAACCCCATCTCACCTGGAACAGCAGCACTGAGTCAATGGAAGCAAAGTGCCCATCAGCCAGGCAGAAGTACTCGGCCCAGCGCCCATCCTCCGCCCAGCGTGACAGGTGCTGCTCCAGCTCAATGCAGGCCGCCGGCCAGTCAAAGTCCTCCTCTGTGGGGTACCACAAGTGGGGTCTCTGGTGGGCAGGAACTCTGCTACCCACACCAGTTATCCAAGCCTGCGCCTGGTTCCTAGGGAGCCCAACCAGCACCAGACTTGGAGAAACCCCCCAACCGGATCCCTCACCCAACTCCAAGGAGGCCCAGGCTCTCGCTTTGGGATCACTGCCTCACCCACCTTCGAAGCAGGTCTGGGACTACCCCTCACCCCTGTTTCCAGAAGCTGGGGGAGTGGAGTCTCAAGACCACCTCCTCAGGCCTCAGGCCCCAACCCGTGTCTGGGAGACAGCAGCCTCTGGACATTAAGGTCCTTCCTCGCCCCCGACTTAGGTCTGACCTTAATCCTTCGGTCTGGGCACAGGAGCGAGGACTTTCTGCCTCGGCCATCCAAACCAGACCCGGGAGAGTGTTCCTTCTCACACTATAAACCTGGCAGAGTTGTCAAGGTGCAGAACCCAAGCCCTAGGTGTAGAGATTCAGTGATATGGATGGAGCCCAGGCATCCATGTTTATCAAGCCACTCGGGAGAGTCCCATCTCTTCAAGGCCACCAAGCTGTCTTATCCCCGAGGGACCGAAGACCTCGGGGGCAGGGGTGATGACCACCAGCTCCTACCTAAGATCCCAGGCTAGACCCTGGGCTGGAGGATCTGTGACTTTGGCATCAGAGGTTCCCAACCCCAAACCCTACCTTGGGCTCAAGAGTTGCAGGTTCAAGAGTCCCTGCCTCGCCACCACCTAGGTCAGGGCCCTAGGGGTAAGGGATCACTAGTTGCTGCCTCAGCATCTTGACCCAGAACCTGAGGATTCTTGGGTTTACCCTGAGCCCCAAGCAGATTCCTACAATCTGAGACTTTCAAGTCCCTGTGTCAACCTCCGGCCAGGGATCAGGGCCTTTGTACCACCACCAGAACCGAAGCCTGATGATGGCTGGATCCGGAGTTCACAGGACCCCACACCCCCAGACAGGTTTCTACAGCGTCAGGACCCCAAATGTCTGCCTCGCGGTCCACTCAGAATTCAGGGACTCCGGCACCACCAGTAACCACCTCAGCCTCCACGGGAGCTAGGACAGCCAGGAAGTGTGCTCTAGGGGCTGTGCTCGCAGCATCCCAGATACTCCCTCCCGGGCCCTAAAGCTGACCTGGGCGGGCGACCCGGGCCCCCCGCGTGCGCACCTTCCACCACTGGATAGGGTGCGCGTACGCGGCGCTGCGCGCGGAGCCTCCAGGTGACATGGTCAC